GAGGAAAAGAACAACTGATTTGTACATTGAGCCCCGGAACTCGTAGTATGGGCCACAATAGTGTCGACAAGACCACTTCGAATCTGATGCAAGTGGAATGCGTGCGCATCGCCCTTGAGAGGAATGATCAAATGGGCAAAGACTTCACCTCTTTATCCTTTTATTTGTCGAAATAATCTTAAGGAAGGAGCTTTTTTCGGTGTGAATCGTACATTTGTCTTTACACAACAATGTTTTACATTGAAACACGCTCTTGTCCAACGAATGTCTTTCAATTTCGTAATGAAACAGTGATTCGTTGAATAATTGTTCATGACGGAGACTCCATCACTCGCTCTCGTAAACCAGAACAATTAACCAGAACCGTATTTCCACCATTAGTTTTATCTCATGGCTCCCGGGAAATGAGGAGATTGGTCAAGATTGCTCGGAAATGGAATTAAGGCGCACCGAAACGGCTGCATCAGACACGACCAACGACACATCGAGGACCCGAACATCGGCTGGACATTGCTCGTAAATGAACATCTCTAACTTTCTTAGAACAGCTGTCTCGTATTTCACTCACCTTGTTTTTGTTTCGAGGAGTCTCGCGCGCGATCTCTGGGCAACAAGGCCGTTCGATGTGGATTCAAAGCTCCGCAGCCCTAAACCCTTCGTCATTTTTCAGTCAGATTGAAGAACGCTACTGTTGCTTACGACTTATTCCGCGCCGTTAGGCTGTGGGCTATGTCTAGCTACCACTTACAGCTTCAAGCTACGCGAGGACACGAACATGGTGGACATTGCTCGTAAATGAAGCGCCTATACTTCTACAACAGCGGTCTCGCGTATTTCCACCCCTTTTTTGTTTCGTGGAGCCTCGCGCCGAACTCATGGGCACACAAGGCGGTTTCTGATGTTGTTGAAAGCTAGCAGCCCGAACTCCTTCGTCATTTTCAGTCACATTGAAGAACTCTACTGTCGCTTCACGATTTATTCAACGTTTGGCTGTAAGACATTCCGTTATTACTTGACCAGCTTGATCAGGGCCCTCGTTGTCTCGGAGGTAGCGTTTGAGGTATGTGCAGGCTTTTGGTCGGGATTGGCAGCTCCTTTATCGACCGAAAATCAAAGTATCCGCAAGTTTGCTCGTCATGGGGCAATGATAGGTAGGGTCAAGCTACGTCGAGAAATTTTCGATGAGGCTCATTTGTGGCTTGATGTGTTTTTTTCGATCTAAATTCCACCCCGCTCCAGATGCACAACGTCCATTACCTTTCCCTTTCGGAACACTTCTCGCAATCTACCGTGTGTAATTTAGAAAAGTGGTGTGTTGGATAAGGAAGGGAGAGGGCCCTATCAGGGATGAGGAAACTTTTGTAAGGAGGAGGTAGTAACATCGGTACTTCACACATCATGCTGTACTCTGGCTCGCGCTTTCCGGGCTACATCCATTACGTCACAGAAGCCGTTCTCACCCTCCCGACCCAACGGCTTCTGTGCCATAGCCACGGATTTTCTACATTACTCAGCGTTCTTGTGATGATTTTCGGAACGCAAACTGGGAGCTTAAATAGCAGTTGTCACAACAAAAAAACTTATGTTCGTTTCATTTGAATTTCCACTTTTCCTTATGTTCGGGTCAACTGTCATCCGTTCTTCGTAGATAGTCCAGATGGTGAAATCGTATTCTCTGAGGGAATCTCGAATTCAATCAGACCGTCACCAATTTCAAGAGAACTGGACTGCAAACATCAATTATGGCTGCAGCCATTCCCGAAAAGTCTGACCGGCTTTCGGAGTTTTTTGTCGATCCGCTGTGACATGATTTGGCTAAAAACAAAGCAATTCGTCATCGCAATCCTATTTTCTCTTTGCCTTTCCTTTCTATTTTCTTTCTCAACCACTCCCATCAAGGTACTTCAGTTATGTATTTCCCATTTGGGACTCGTTGACGATGTATGTCGTTTGTGAGATTTTGCCATCGACTTTTGCCTAAACGCGTTAGGTCCGTCTCCCAGGACCAGAGCTATGAAACTACGTTTGCTTGAGTTATCAATAGTGGTATGAAATGGTCCAGACAGGGCACGCCCATTGTTGTGATGATCACAATGGGGGGGGGTCGTATTCAACTGCGAAGGAGGGGGAGGGTCGTATTTTGGCTAAAAGAATTTTTTTAATAGTTGATTCCTCTTGTTTCACGGACCCTGTAAAGGGGGAGAGGGTAGGGGAGTTGTATTAAGTCGCTGTTGGGAGTGGGACTGCCAAAGATCTATACAAGTACTATTAGTAGTACTAATCAGTTTAGATTGCTGTGCCACTCGAGGTTTTTAGGTGGAAATCTTTATTTTACGGCCTAACGTTTCGACTTGGTCGTCTTCTTCAGAGGCCAAGCTTCCACCGTATATCCGATCACACGCGGTAGTAGTTAGTAGAGAAAGTCATGTGAGCTGCGGATAATACGGTGGAAATCTTGGTTCTCTAAAGAAGACGACATAACGAAACGTTTTCAGGCCGTAAAATAAGAATTCCACCTGAACTCGAGTTTGCAAAGCAATATAAACAGAATAAACAACGATGCCGAGGTTACAACAAGAGAGAACTTCGAGAATACAAGTACCATTTCCGATAGTTGAAAATGATAGCTGGATCCTAACAACACCCCCCCTCCCCGCTCGATAGCAAAATTTTTCGGGGAAAAATGGAAAAAGTGGTGGGAAGTTCGGAAATTAGGAAAGTGGTTAGTGCATGGAGGGGGATCGTAATTCGCGGAACCGAGATAATCGTGCCCTGGGTGACAGAGCACGACCACGAAGCCACCACTCAGAAAGGCTTATTTTACAGTCTTTATTGCTAGAGTCAGTGGGGCGTAGGTTTTGGCGAGACATCAGTCCGTTTCCCATCAGTTGAGGTCGCGTGCCTGCTAGCGGGCTGGGCGTCGGCAACGACCGAACCCACAGACAACCTCAACTGTCCGAAGGAGCAGATACTGCAGTCATTGTCATGAAAGTCGGGTAACGGTATATCATGGAGGCGGGAGTTGACATGGCAGCGGTCCGCTTGCTAACGATCGCTTGCGGGCTTTCGAGAAATTGATGAGTGGTGAGAACGAGTCCCCTGGCGGCTCATTCGGAATCTGGGCCCTCTTACTGGTACCGTGCCCCTACTGATTCATTTGATAAACAGTTGCACACAATGTCCCAGACAACTAATTTCTAGGTGAAGCCAAGCTGGAAGGTGTGTTGAGCAATTGTCATTGGGAGCTCGGAACAATGAGTCCTTAATGTTCTATGGAACTTTCAAGGACTCTATTCGGTGCAGAGCTCCAAGTTACGTGATTTGGGAATGAAGATACGGTAGGAAAGATCCGGGTGTGAGTGAACTAATTCCGTAACTATGTTCCTTCTGCTCGTAATTGTGGGGGGTAAAATTCACCGTACCCCTCCCCCATCTTAAGACCGTAGAGCGGCGTACTGGTTCCAGTCTATGATTACAGGTCGCTTGAGAAGAGGATGTACTCACTATGGAAAACGGTGCATGAGAGCGATATGTACATCGATTCGACCGTTGTTTCTCAGAGAACTCCCCACATGTCCCATGATGGTGAGCTTAAAAAACACAGCCAACTTCCTCGACAATTTTCGTCGAATTCTTCTTACCACGGGAAGGGAAACAAGGGTCAGCCGGCCAATTCTCATGGAGCTGCTACACCGATGTACGCGTCTTAAGGACGATGTGAACTCATACAACTACCCCTTGAGAATATTGCGGCAGAACTCTCTCTGGTACGGAGTTATGGAGAGTTTTATCCCCGCGTGTTGTTTTCAACTACTACATCGCCCGTAAGCAACGGTAAGCGTTCCTTTACATGTCTGTATGGATGTCTGATAACGTGGGTAGAAGAGCGTAAGGCGTAGCGAGCGGGGTTTTTTTAGCCTAACGGTCGTAGGCTCGGTTCCCGGTCAAGATTAGACATTTTTGCATTCTAGAATGCCGCCAAAACTTATAACATCTCTACTCTCCCTAGCAGGAACCTCGATCAGTTTTTTTTCGAAAGTGTAGACCCATTGTGGCCTGAAAGAGTGCTTGTGCTCGTCTTCCTCGTAAGCATGTCGCAAGGGTTTTTGCATCGAATATCATGATATCATGTCGTGCAGGTTTCAAACTACCTCCCGGGGAACAAGTTTCTAGCCGAATCTGATATTTTCGACCAAATCTGGAAATGTGGCTATTCTATGGGTGATTAGCAGCAGATAGGAGCTCACCTGCCATCGATGGCAGGTCTCGGAATGAAATTTCCTCCCGGTAAACAAGAAATGATCCAGCCCGGCACGAATTAAGCGAACCAGGTATTGTATATTGCGAAAGAACATAGCTGAAATGGTATTTTCAATGGCGAAGAACATGATCATCAGCCTAAGTAATGCTAGTCGTAGATGGCTGTTGGCTATCAGCCAGCCACGCCTATCCATACCCCATTTTTTCGAAGTCGAGTCAGAAGCTCAGATTTCGCTAAGGTGACGTTTCTAGGGGTTATTTGACCCCCTGAACACGAATATGATACCTATTTACGCGAAGTCGCGCTACAGGTGCCAACGCTTCGGCGCCAGCGCGCCCAGAAGAAGAAAAACAGTGAAGAAAAACCTCCATAACTCCGCTCAGAGAATCGTTCCGCAAATTTTGAAGACAGTTTTGAGTTCACCGTGTCAAGATGAGTACAACGATGTGTATCCCATTTGCAAACGGCCGGGCTGACCTGTTGACCTATTCCTGGCTAGAATTGTCCTTTTACCAAGTTTATTGCCATCTTAGTGCCTGTGAGGAGGGGAGTACAAGCGATTGTGAGGGGAATGCACTGTGTTCGATCTTCTTAGCAAAAATACGCAGAAGATCAGGAAATTTGTCTGATGGCGACTCCGTTTCGTCATTCCTTTCGCTTTCACTGCTCTTTCTACTCCGTGACCACCACATTTTTTCGTTTGTTGAGCTCCACCTTAATCCTTTTATTCTAGGTGATTATGCAAAGCGCTGGTCTCCCCTGTGCAACCGAAAGTGCCCAGGTTGTCGCTGCCGGACTCTTCCCTGATGAAGGTGAGCTACAAGAGCAGATCTGGAGTTTGTAGTTCCAGTCTATAGGACTTAATTCCTATACGTCTTCTGAATATTCTTATACCAAATCAGACGTTATGCATCTAAAGACACATCCGACGTAGATTGCAAGTTGAGGGTCAGACCTACTGCGGTGGTTTTCTCATTGGCGCGGGAGGGCGCAACAAACAGGCTCCACGAAAAGCTCAACGATAGCGCGCAAGCGTGCAAGCTGATGTCGCAGCCATGGACAAGGGAGCACAATGAAAAGTGCCTCGCCACGGCATTCCAAAGACGATGAGCTCGCAGACCTTTTGTCTATGGATGGCAAATAACGCCAGGACATGTAGGGTCGATCCAGAATTCTGCCCTCATGGTTGGACCAGGCACGTGTCACTTGCATCTTCTAGTACTGAACGGTTTTTTCTCATTTTGACAAAAAACAGAAGACCCAAAGTCATTATATTTGTGAAGGTTTATAGCGTGCACCATGGAGATGTAGTCGAAGGAGCAGTCCTGGATGACCTATGGAAATGCAAAAGATAGGGGGGAATGGGGTAATGTGGTCCGCAGTGGACAACCGCCACTTTCAACGGAAAGTTATAAGCTAAAGGAGTTAAGGCGCTGAGTTGCTCCAGTGGCACCTCTTTTTCCCAGTGACTCCGCTTCCAGGAACATCGGTAGTGGTTTTGGATATATATCGCCTTTGAAGTCCGCTTTTCAAGGCAGGGATGGTACCGTTAAGTAGCATAAAACGGGTGCTTTGCTTCCTCTTATGGGTCACAGGGTTCACCACAAGGAGACTATGCTCATCCTAGAGCGCGGTCTTTTGGCCTTTCACTAACGCAGTTAGTTGAAGGCTTGAGGGCAAGGCGTTACGGACATCCCTTTCGCATTTTCTCTTGACAGACAATTCAACGATTTCTTTTCCATATCCAAGACCACTATCGATGTTCCTTGTCGCAGCCTATGCCTTTAAATATGAATTTTTCATTTAGGAAATAGCCGATGGTCAAATGACTCGCTTGGTTCATGGCAACCGACGCCAATTTATGCTATTCCACAATCTACACCTGATCCGGTAAGGCACCATGTAATAAAATCACTAGCGCTAGTTACTTCTTCATTTTATATTTCTTCAAAATAAAAAGAAAAAATTTTTTCTTTAAAACCTCAGGCGGATTGGGGCCAATTTCGGAGCACCCAGACCAGTTCAACTCCACTGGCAAAGGCAAGATCTACGCACGGCACGCCATCGTTGTGATGGTCACAAGGGAGGGGTCACAAGGGTGATGGTCACAAGCGAGGGAGGGGGGTCGTATTTGGTTTGGAAAAATTTTTTCGATGGTTGTCTTTTGGTTCACGGACGCTATAAGGGGGGGGGGTCGTTTTTGGTCGTCATTGGGAGAGGGATTGCTAAAGAGGTATACTACTACTATTTTCGATGGTTGAAATGATAGTTAAATCCTGAGCGACTTCCCCCCTCTCGCCTGACAGCAAAATTTTGGGGAAAAATCAGAAATTTTCCGGGGAAAAAATGGAGAAGTGGTGAGGAGTTGGGAGATCTAGGAAAGTGGCAGGTAGCATGGGGTGGGGGGGGGTATAAAGGATGGAAAGGTCGTAGTTTTCAGGAATTGATCACAACGCGATGGCGTGCTCTGTATCTACGATGATTGTATGGTTAGAGGAGGACATGGACGTGAACACAGTCAATCATCGAGCCTTTGTCATAAAGTCTTGTTCACTGCGGATGCGGGGGCGTGTCGCTGGGGGTTTTGCGCGGCGCCAGCCCGTCTTCCATTGCTTTTTGCCTACTCTCTGCAACAACTGGACGAGAACGGGCTGGGGCCGCATCACTGTCCCCCCGCCCTACGACTGTCCTCACCCATACGACTGTCTCCGCCCATACGACCAACAAGGACCGTGCCTTCGTGAAAGACATATCCACCGTTTTAGACACTTTCTTCCACAGTTGCTCCTCGAGGCTATCCCATAACTAAACTTTGATGCCTCAAAAGACTAAAGAAGGCTGTTTAGTAGGCTTTTTTCCGGAACTTGTCCTGAGTAGTCTCATTACAGCATCTTCGCCAACCCTTTCATCCGTGCCCGGCTTACAAGCGTCTGTTAGACATGGAGAATAAAAACTTCTACAGACAATTCGATGCTGAGAATGAGAAATGGTACAAATTACTTGAACATCACACTGGTGTTATTCCGTTTGATCGTGACGCTATTACCATGCTCTATGGGATTCATAACGAGGTGGGTACTTTCCGAAAAATTTGAAAAAAACTAAGTAACAACCGAGCTCGGGATATTTATTGTTAGTGAGTTGAGCAATTTTTTTCATTTTTTTGTGACTTGAGCAATTTCTTTTTCACATTTATAGCACCAAAATGTGGCAAATGTAGTTTCTCTTTCAAGTCTTGGGGAAAAGGGTCTTGAAAAATGCTTGAAAGTGAAAGGTGTATCATACGCTGTTCATATAGGCGGGGTCAGGTGAGCTATAGTGACTTCTTTCGGTGAGGCGCCCTTTTGCCGAGAGAGTCGCCGAAGGAAAGCACACCCGAGGAGGCAGAGAGGGCACATCTGTCTCTGCCCACCAGACCAACATGGTGCCTTTACAACTTTTAGAGTCGAAGGACCCTTCAGGGCTGTGTAAGGGGTGAGGACGTTGCCGGGAAAGAACCTCATTGGCGTGCCAGTCTTCGTCCCATTCTCTTCTGCCTTATTGATGAACAACAGGAAGAGCGCGTCGAGGACGTCGTTTTTGACTCTGCCATACCAAAAGTCAGAAACCGTGCCTTTGAGCGGTATTTGAATACCTGCTGACCATCCAAACTAATGTTTGTGTAGCGAGGAAAGCGCTTACCGGGTATGATCCGGCATGTAACCCTGGCCCGGAGACAGCCTAAGCCAGACTTTCTCGCCTCCAGAGCAGATTAGGTGGAAAGTTGTCTGGAAAATAAAACACTTATTTGCACATCGCTCCATCCGGACTGTGATCATCATCAGATGCCTTATCTATCTCCGTTTCATTTACCATTCCAGCGATACCCCTTTCCGGGGCAGTTCGACGACGGGGGGGGGGCATTTTGCACTTTCACTGCTTCACTACTTCCGGTTTACAAGTCTCACTCTGGTGAAACTTGTGAACTCTTGTGAAGCTGGAGCAAGCTCGTCTAGCCACCATGGTAAAACATGTCAACTCAAGAAAAGGCTATCTAGATGGGTCGACACACGATGGGAAAGTAAAATTCCCCCCTGTCGCCAAAGTGCGGCCCCCCTTTCCTTTCCTGGTAGGGCACTTGACGGAACTGCATAATTACTATGCCGCTGCACGCTTCTGTTCTTCTGAAGTAAAGATGGTTTGCGTACCAATGAGGACGGGTGATTATATGTCCCACCCATTCCTCC